AAAACGTTAGAGAACACAAGGTGGTCCAAATACGATAAGAGTAGGCTTCGGCCACCACCGTGGTAAAATTCCAAATGAACTCCTGCCAAAATAAAAATGTTTAATGTGTCCTGCGTGGTCATATAACCTTTCGAGGTTGCGAGCACCGATTACATTCTTAATATGTAACCAACTAATACGGGCATCAAATCAGGACACGGGACCAAAAAAAATAGTAAAAAAGGTTGACTTCTGTTCAGGATAGCTACTGCTAGTTTTATTTTATTTATTTTTTGCTTGTTTTTTTTCTTCTTACACTTACCCCCCCCCCCCCAAAAACAACAACAACAAAACAAACAAAACAAAACAAAACAAAAAAAAACAACAGCAAGCAAACAAACGCCCCCCCCCAAAAAAAAAACAAAAAAACAATACAACCCAGCCACGCAAACAAATAAATAAAAAACGAACAAAACAATCCCTTGAAAAAACCAAACACATTTCGGCGTGGATTTTTTACTGAATACAGTTGAATAAAAGCTAATAATACTGTTTTGTAAACTTGCAGTTTCCACGGACACTAAAGCTTTGGAAGTCATCCAACTTTGGCGATTTCTACCTCTGACACCAGGTAACTCCCACCTCCTTCAATCGCAGATGTCTCGACTTCTGTTCAGGATAGCTACTGCTAGTTTTATTTTATTTATTTTTTTGCTTGTTTTTCTTCTTCTCTAAAATCAAAAGCAAGACAAATAATGAACAAGCTTTATGGATATACTAATACCTCTATAATTATAATATGTCCAAGAGCAAAATAAAACAAAACAAAACAAAGGATTAGAATTAAAAATACAACCAAACTCATGTCATTATTCTGTCATTTTCTGAACGTGATTCATAATCGATGCGTATGGGGGTTCTTGTGGCCTAGATGTTACTGTTTTCCCTTTTCATCCAAAGGTTTCGGGTTCGAATCCGGAAAGCTACCATAACATTTTCTTCTCCAAAATTGTCTCCTTTGCTCTCAAACGATGTTCTGTTCGTCTGCTGTCGCCTCCACTTTCTGCCCCCACTCCCTCACCTCCTTTGCCCCCCCCCCCCCCTGACTCTTTCTGCAGCCTTTTTACTGCTACTCCTTCGCTCCCTTTTACTGCTGTCTTTCAACCACACGCCTGATCTTCTGATAGGAAAGATCTACATATAGCATTCTCGGTCTAGGAGGTCCCGTGTGCAAGTTGCACCCGTTAAAGATCCCTTGATAGTATAAAGTCGATAAGAGCAGGCTTTGGCAGCCACCCGGGCATAATTCAAAATTTCCTACCAACAGCAAATGTTTGCTGTGACCTGCGCGCTCATATGACCTTATGCAAATGCGAGCGCCGTAAAACACTTATTGAAAAGAAGAAAAAATAATCGATGCTGCTCCGACAAGAACAGAGAACTCTGCCGTCTTTCTCTTGCTGTGCGCCATAATACAATGTTTCAAAAAGAAAATGTCTCTAAAAGGGACTTAATTGCATTATCTGGCTATGGTATATACCCACCCACAGCACTCAGTCTCCACCTCCACCCCCCACCTCCGGAAAAAAAAGTAAATCATAAAGAAAGAAAGAAAGAAAGAAAGAAAGAAAGAAAGAAAGAAAGAAAGAAAGAAAGAAAGAAAGAAAGAAATGTTTTAATGTTGTTGTTGTTGTTGTTGTTATCGATCCAGCAACATCTGGGCTCTTGCCCTTCTGTCCAATGCCATGTAGTAATAAGTGCAGGTTTGCTGCAGTTGCTGACAGTGGAAAAGGTGATGTTCCACTGTCTCATATGCATAGTCACACAAAGGACACATGGGGGGAAGTTCTGAAATTTTTAAATAAAAATCCAAACCTTCAAAAGGCAAAATAAAACAAACAAACAAACAAACAAACAAAAAGAACCCTTTGTCCCCCCCCCCCCCCCCCCCGCCAACCCTTTTTTTCACCAAAAATGTCTTACCTATTGAAAAATATCTTCTAAATCTGAGGGGGGTTTTTTGGTTGTTGTTTTTTTTTTTTGGGGGGGGGGGGTAGGTTCTTATTCTCGTTTGCTATTGGAACTGTTACAGTTGCTATAAGCTTGTCTTTTCCTTGATCATCTCAGTTTGTTGTCTTGGTATTGCTGCGGACAATGAATGCACAATAGGAATTTCAAGTGCGTGGTTGGCGGGTGCTCTGGTGCGGTTTGCTTCTTTTTTCCTATCAAACAGCTATCTTCATTATCTCTCTTCCTTCTTTTTTTGTATATGTTACTCTCTTGTAACATAATTATCTATTCTTCGCTACTTATATGACCTTATTGTGTTGCAAGTGCAGTAAAACTCTTACTAAAACTAAACTAGGGAATTTCGATTTAGATAAATGTCTCTCTACAGAAGTCGATAGAAAATCCCGCCCTTTCGACATGTGCTACCTTGAAATTACAAAGTTCTATCTGACATTTTTGGTTGTTTTGAGTTACCAAGACCACGAGGTCAGAAACCAATTAATGTTTTATCCCCTCTATTCGGAGTCGTTGTCAAGATATTTAAAGATTTGCATTCGAAAAAATGTTGACTAGTTGTGAAACTCAAAATATCTAACGTCATATTTCTCAAAACTATGTACTGAGCAGATAGAACGCAGTTATTCTGAGTTAGTGCACGGTCTACTCTAAGGTATTGAATCAAAAAAAGGGGGGGGGGTGGAGGGTAAGAATTAAAAAAATATCTCCCGTTAGCGGGAACTCGTGTCCTTTGGGTACACAAAGAAGAGAGTAACCACTACACCACAACGCTTATCAAGTGTCAGACTTCACCATAGAACATTACACCCAAAGAAAACTCGACACATCTATTCACGTTTTTCACAGTTTTGATAAGGAAAGGATTAAGTAGTAACAAAGGTATTATACTATGGGCTCGATCTGCTATGGACGCTCTCGTGTACCTCTAGTTATGGATGGGTGCGCCTGGTAGAGACGCCATCTGATTGGTTGAGCTGCGTGTCAGTCACGAACATTTTCACCTGAGGGCATGACCACTGACCAGTCCACGCGCTGACCATGTGGTGACTTTATTCAACTTTTAAAATTACGTCACGTTTGAGAAAACGATTGGTCATTTAGTTCTCGTTCTATCTCACGATTGGACGAGGCAAAACAATTGCTTGCTTGCGATTCTGTTCTTGAATTTCTTTGTATTTCTCTCTGAATCCGCGTCACTTTTGGATTTCATCTCCATCGCGACACTGCTTTTTTCTGTCGTGGAGCTAGTTTCTCAACAGTTTTTTGTGACTTCAAATACACAGTTTTATACATCTGGGAGTATTATTGTTGTGGTTCAAAGTCCACTGTTTTCTACTTCTGGGAGTACCATCGTTGTGGTTCAAGTCCACTGTTTTCTACTTTTGGGAGTTATATTGCTGTGTTAACAAACAGTTCTTGCGATTATTCCTCGGACTCTTACACGTCAGGACTTCTGACCAGGAAAAAACTTTTCCTCAGTTCTGGACTTGAGTGTGTACTTTATAAACTGTGACACAAAGTGCTGGATAGAGTAAGCGGCTGACAAGAAAATACGAACTGTGTGACTTTTTACGTGTATTTTTCTTGGTGCAAGTGCTTGGTGTGGTTTGTGTTGGGTGCTACATCGTACAGAGCTTCTCTATGTCCACTATGATGAACCTTCACCCCGAGGTCTACGAGACCTACTCGGTCAGCGCAACAGAGGCGCTTGGTCTGAAAGAAGACAAGAAAATAGCGAAAGGTGGTTCTTGCCAGGTCGTTGTA